AGAGGGGGGTGACGTGCAGCAAAAGGCTGAGGTCAGATTCAAAACCCTCGGCCTCTGCCATTATGACTGTAGCCTCTGTACACGGGGGGTGTGACATAACTAAGCTGCTAGCTAATAGCTAGGCTGAACATAGCCTGCTCAGGAGAAGGTTAGGTGTACAGAATAATTTACCATGTTTTGTAGCCCTTGAAAGCCAGCGTTAACCCTAGCGTTACCTTAATAACTAAAAAATCTTTAGCAGTATAGGCCTCTGGTCTCCCTCTCTGTCTCTGTGGTCTCCCTTCTCCCTCTGCTTGTTGAGCACCTGAGTGCAGCTAGCGCTCTGGGAGGAAGAGGTGATTTAGAGTGACAGGAGGGCAGAGGGGTGCAGAGACAGTCTCTCTCACACACTGGTCAGGAGCATGGTGAGGAGTGCTTCCCCTTAACCATTTCTATCTATCATTTCTACACCTATTTATTAGGGGGGGTTAGGGGAAGATGCTGAGAGCAAGAGCCTTCCCCTCTTTTGTTCATGTCGGCCAGGATCTCAGTCCATTTCGATTTCAATATTTAATTATCTTATTTTTGCCCTATTTATGTTGTAATTTTTAAACTAAAGCTTGTGGGTTAATTTTGTATATTTGTTTGTGGTGTCCATTCTTCATATGTTATGTTCTCCATGGTTATGGACATGGTTTTTTAGTAATAAAACTGAAAATCACATACAGACAAATAAAGAAAAGACATAAATGTGCACCTTACACAAATGGAAAAATATAATATATAAAAAATTTAAAATGGGGGTTGCGGTGAGGCATCAATACATACTTATAGGATGCTTGAAATACATGTTCATTTAATTTAACTGGTCATACAAAATAATACTTATAGCAATAGCAACATATTAAATCCAGTAAGGATAAAAAAAGACCTTACTGTAGCCCACAATCCCTCTAGGCTAAGATCAAGATGCATTACTATGGCAGCAGCTCGTTCCACCCCTAATAAATCTACAAACCCGTCCTCCCAACTGCTCCAACTAAAACAGTGTGGAATTCCAATCTTCCACTTCAAAACAATTTTCCGTTTAGCAGCTAGACAACAAAATGTCACAAATGTAATTTGCGTCACATATAAGCCATCTATTTTTTCTCCTGATATACACAGTAAAGGACTTCTTATTGACCTAAAGGTTGTCTGTGAAGGCGTTGGTTATAGCTGACCAGAAGGAATACAATGTGAGGCATTCCCACAGACAGCGTGACTACCACATACTCTTTGCATTGATGTTTTGCTGATGTATTTCTTTTTCTATCTCTTCATCTCAGTTGTCTGATTGTTCCATGCTGTTTGGGTCAAAAGTGAACAGATGATCATATCATATTTAAAGAATTAAATGTGCACCCCTGTTAACTATTTGAGTTAACTTGTGGTTACAATAATTACTGTGATTCTGAATTTCTCGGCTCTATCACACATGCTTGAAAGTTTCCAAGTAATGTCATTGATGAATTTGTTGAATACCTTAATACAGTCAACATCTTTAGCACGTCCACATGTGTTTGGATTTTTTTCTTCTGTTTAGCTACATGGTATAATCTGATTCCTTACATTTTCTTTTGCTTTTTTCCCCCTGACTTTCTACCTTCATATAAAAGCTCTCTAGCTGGGGTATAAAAATATAGATTGATTGATTGATTGATTGATTGATTGATTGATTGAATAATATGCAAGTCTCGTCTCACAGAGAGAGTACCATCCAACCTTTTTTGTTCGGGATGCAGTGATGGTTATTGTAAGCATCACCTGCAATGGACCTAATTGCAGTGTGGAAGACTGCATCAAGAGGTTTTAAAGTTTCAGCTGAAGCATGGATTGTACAAAATATCACCCTAATCTAACACTCACAATAATATCTATCTTTAAGTCATTGAAGACCTGTTGGTTCTTAAGTCAGACTGCATTACAATCCATCAAAACATCCATCCATCAAACCATCCATCCATCCATCAATCCATCAAACCATCCATCCATCCAACCATCCATCCATCAAACCATCCATCCATCCATCAATCCATCAAACCATCCATCCATCCAACCATCCATCAATCCATCAAACCATCCATCCATCCAACCATCCATCAATCCATCAAACCATCCATCCATCTATCAATCCATCAAATCATCCATCCATCCATCCATCCATCCATCCATCAAACCATCCATCCATCCATCAATCCATCAAACCATCCATCCATCCATCAAACCATCCATCCATCCATCATCATCCATCCATCAAACCAGCCATCCATCAAACCATCATCCATCCATCCATCCATCCATCAAACCATCATCCATCCATCCATCCATCCATCCACCCATCAAACCATCCATCCATCCATCCAAATATGCCTTGCATTTATTCTCACAAATACCTGTTAGTAGCCCCAATCTTGTTTTCTAGGGAGTCTTGGTGATATTTTAGACTTTGTCAGTTTTTGAAAAATGTAAATATTGTTGATGGATCACCCTGCTCAAGGGGGTGTTTCCTGATTTAATGGCCAATGAAATGCTTTATCAAGTTCCTATGTCCCTTCCCCCTCAACAATAAATCCTGCCAGTACAGTGTGGAGCAGGGAACCCAGGAAATAGCTAGTGGGGCTAACATTTCATCCTTACATTTTACATTTCCTTTCACTCCCTCCACTGTTGAAGTTCAAAATTCATGTTAGTTTACCCCTTCAAATGATAGAAATGAGCAACTTTCCATCAGGATATATCTATTAGGCACATTATCTGTTTGTGATTGTTGTCGACAACGGACACCAAGAGAGAGTGCAAAAGATGAGCAGGTAGCCATACAAGTCAGTAAGACAGACAGGCAGAAGGTTTAAGATAAAGAGAAAGATTGGAACTTTTCATGATAATATAATCATTCTTCTGTAGAAAAGGGGGAAGCTACAAAATGTTGCATTTAAAAAGAACACTAAGTTAGTCTTTTATCCTGGAAGTTGATGGGCGTTTGGGCAAACTCGTGGTAAAGAAAAAATCTTAAATGTATGTCTGTGTAATTCCTCCATTTTTAGAGCTCTGTCTGGCTGATATGAATACTAGTATTGAGAGTTTTTTTTTTCCACCAGGGTAATTTTGTGACATCTCTTTATAAGGTCATATACCCTAGGAACAGAGACAAGGACACATCAATTCTAAGGCTTCCTTAGCCAATCAGGTGAAAAATGGGAGTGTAAAGAGGATGGGCTTAAAGAGGCAGTTCCTGAAATTGCCTGAAGTTTGTTGTATTGTAAATCATTCAAAGCAACAAGGTTTCAGTGAAAAAAAATATGATTCTTGAAATGAGCCACTTTAATGTGCAACCACAAAAGGAGCTCAGAGACTTCTTTACTGTAGAAGTCAGGGTGAAGGTCTGGGGTCATTACATCCTGTGGTCACTGATTTATTGATGGTGGAGGAACAGAAGCAGGTTGGCATGTGGCATATCTCAAATGAAGTGTTAAAAATAACAGGACTCTAACCCGCCCGGCACACAGTCTGTTTTCTTACCTTCCCCCAGGAAAGTGTTTAAAGTGCATCTGAACATGTATCAACCGCCTCAAGGGTTTTTTCCCCAGGCAATCACTGCTGAACAATAGCACTTCTCTGATATTTATTTTTTATACATTTTAGAAAGTCTTTATGGAGAATGTTTTATCACCATCTTTTCTTCACAAATTCATGTCTTGTATTTATTACTATTGGTTTGGAGGGAGGAGATGACTCAGTGTACAGACTGTACACTGTACTTTTTAATGTATATGACAAATACAATAAATCGATGTCTGAAAGCACTGGAGAGTGGTCTGTGGGGGTTCTGTCTTTTTAAAATCCTGCCAAAGTTAGTATGTTAACATGCACAGTTAGGTTGAGCTGAGGTTATAGCTCGATTAGGCCATTGATTTGGGCTGCTGTCTTTGTCCCAGCACATTGTAACTTCATTTGGAGACCGATATATATATTGCAGTAATGCTAGTCACTTTCGGACCGTCTTTAGGCTGACATATTACGTCACATAACCAAGCCAACACTCAACTGGTTGTACGTCCAACAGTGAAAGAATTGACAACTGAACAGCTCTGTAAATTTCAGCAAACTCAACATAAGGTGTGTTTCCTCGTCTGTCTAAAAATATTTGGTTCTCGCTCCATCACTCATCATTTTGATACCTTGGTCTTGTTATCTTTCCAGCTTTCTTCTAAGCATTTATGCTGTTTGACTTCTGAGTCACAGCCCTGAGCTGGAAGTGTGGAGCATATGCTCAGTTAGTAGTGTCAGCCATGTTCTATCCCCAGCTCCTGCAGCCACATGTGTCTTGGGGAAGACTCTTATCCCCAAAGTAGCTCTCGATTCTTTTCGTTGGCGGCGGCGTATGAATGTGTGTAAATGGGATTAGTCACTTCTGATGGTCACTATACATAGCAAACTCTGCCATCAGTGTGTGAATGGGTAGGTGTGACCTGTGATATAAAAGCGCTTCAAGTAGTCAGAATCCTAAAGCACTGGACAAGCTCAAGTCCATTTACCATTTAAGGTGTGGTGTAAACATGCAAGAGTAAATCGAACCCAAACTGCATTATCATGGTGTGTTAGTCAGACTTCAAAAAATTCTAACAAACCATGATGTCAGTCAGACTAATATGTTAACATGTATTTCAAAAGTTTTAGGTGGACTAAAACAATAAGTCAGCATCGTGCAATCGTACTGAGTCTCTCTTCAGGATTAAAAAAAGCTCCATATTGACTTTTTCTTGTCAGAATCCCACTAACACAGTCACACTACCGCAATAGAAACTACTAGCAAGCACACATATCTGTCATTTCATTTCACAAAGCTGGACTTCAAATTGATTGTATTTTAAAGTTGTTGTTTTTTTTCAGAGGTTTCATGGTGCTTAAAGGAGACAAAGACATTTTGTGCAGGCCAACATCTCTAACAAAAAAAAAACGTTTCTCTTTCTTCCTTTCAGATGCAATGTTGACAGCAAAGTGTCTCGAGTGGCATGGCTCAATCGCACCACCATCCTATTCGCTGGAAACGAGAAGTGGTCTCTGGACCCTCGCGTCGTCCTGATGGAAAACACAGCGGTCACGGAATACAGCATCAAGATCCAAAACGTGGACGTCCACGACGAAGGGCCGTACGTCTGCTCCATCCTCACAAACAAGAAACCAAAATCCACAAAAGTGCACCTCATCGTTCAAGGTAAGACCTCCTCAGCCCGGTCCGTCAGAGATTGTATTCGGACACAACAAATAACCAAAAATGTGTCGACCAAGATCCGAGCTGGAACAGTATTGTGTGTTCAAGTTTTCATTGTTTTAGATGGAAAATTGTAAACTGAAGTTTACTTTTTTGGGATTGGACCAGTGCGAGTCCATTAGGAAAGTCAAATAAGAAACCTGCCTTCCTTTGTTTTAGGATGGTGTGTGGAACTCGGCCAGCGTAGAGCCGGTGATGGAACCGGGATTCAATCTCGATTTAATTTAAGTTTGCTGATAGATATTGATTTAGGGGACAGTACATTGAAAAATGTCCTGGTTCAGTTTCATCGCAAAGTCCTCCTAATACAACTTTAAGCACCAGAGACGTTCTCCTATCTCTCATGATGAAAATCCATTTCCTACCTGGTGAGTTTTGACGAATAATTAACACCAATACTCTTGACTGTAATTAAAAAATACTTAGATGAAGCTGTTGTACGAGTTACCTCATGTTGAATCCCAAAGAGAGAAGAGCATAGCGTGCATCAAGGAAATCCAACCTGGACACAGATGGTATCATCTTTATACAAGTTAAGGAGAATCATTTAATTCCTTCTAAATGATAATTGACTTTGAGTATTTTTCACACTGTATAATTTTCAAGCTGTATAATTCACGAGGATATCTTATTAACTCTTAATTGATGCATAGAAGCATCAGGCCATGGTTTTTTAATCAAATCAAACAAAAGGCAAGCACATTCTGCTGCCGACAAGTTCCTACGTCTCCAATTATACTTTTCTCATGGATTTTATCTGTCCTTTTTCCCCCCGACCTTGAATAACACAAGCCATCTGGCTGCTGCGAGATCACACTCCGAACCAAAAGGAGCCACATGGAAAGGGCGACAGTGGGCTTTGATACGCCAACAAAACACTGTTGCTGGTGCTTTTGTGTTGTAACACAAAAGAAGGGATGACACTGCTCTAACAATGCTCCAACAATAAGTGGGCATGAGAGAGAAACAGTGTGTGGTACAAAGGAGGCCAGTTCCTGCCACAACTCTCAAAGTCAAATGAGGACTCAGATATAAAGAAATCAACTGTACTGCTATGATGACATTTTGACTGATTATGAAACAGTTATAATTTCATATTAATGGATCTATGACTACGTTCAAACTGCATGACAAAAGCTACGATCACCGAAGGCAAAATTGACCTGAATCAGATTTCTTTGCTCACGTGACTCAGATTTGATTCTTTTACAACAGTTTGAGCAACACAAGTCACAAGGAATCTTTTCAAATCAGATTTAGGCCACATTCATATCATGAATAAGACACAGGTCTGATCTTTTGCATTGTGACCTCAGTCTGAACAGCGAGGTAGGAATGCATGTGCGGCTGTGGCTCAGTTGGTAGAGTCGTTGCCTACCAACCGTTCCTACCTACCGTTCGATTCCCAGCTGGACAACATGTCCGATGTGTCTTTGGGCAAGACACTTAACCCTGAATTGCTCCCACTGCTTTGGTGGTGGTGTATGAATGGGATTAGTTACTTCTGATGGATAATACTACATAGTGATTACATCACAGTGTGTGAATGTAAAAGTGCTTTGAGTAGTCGGAAGACTAGAAAAGCACTATATAAGCTCAAGTCCATTTAGACGTTCCTTTTGGGTGACAGACGCCATAGTTCTACATTTGCAGGACGGGTGGGGTCGAAAGCAAATTCTTTATTTACTGTATGTAGGTCATGCTCTATCGTGCCTTCATTGCAAAACACCAGCCCTTGGCCTCTACCTTTTACATATCAAATGTTATTAAGTTTAACCTGCCAAATTTCCTTCAATTCCTCATATACATTTCTCACTTTTGTATTCTTTTACAAACTGGTTACATACAACAGTGAGCACCACTGTGATCAAAAGTGGCTCAATAGTGCAGTGTGTGATAATATGCAGCCCCACAGGGATCTTTATGGTGCAGATTTTACATATTGCTTCATTTGAATCAGCTGGTTCCCATCTTTCATTTGGCTGAAAGTGGGCAAAGACATAGTGGTTTCCATCTGATCACACAACATTAAATGATTTTATCCAGAAAAAGAGTAGGTAGAGATTATGTTTAATCTCTTATTGCTGATATGTTGATTCATGTGAACTGTCCTAATTTAAAAAAAAAACAAATCAAAAAAAAAAAAAAAACATTAAATTACTATCAGCAGGATTTACATCCCAGAGAACTTCCAAACAAGTCGGTTGTTGTCACCAAAATGTACCAGCTGCAGAGGGGAGTGGAGCTGATGCTATCGCTGTCAGGACTGCCACAGTGAGGTGACATTATTTGTCATCTGATACAGCGGAGAGGAAGGGGAACTCTTTTTGATTTATGGGCGTGGCCCTGGCTGTTAGCAGCTCATCACATCTTCTCAGTTGTCAATTACTTTGTGTGATTGAAACCTTTTCTAACACAGACTGACGGTGAATCATTTAATCAGTGACAAACCTAAAAACAGAGAGAGGTATGCATCACTAAAGCAAGACAAAACATCAACATATAAACATTCATTTAATTACTAATTTACCTGCAAATACAAGATACTCATTGAATGTATTACAATATAAACGTTTGAATAGAGTAGATATTTGGGGAGAATGATTTGAGTTTTTGCTAATACAAATGGAGAAGCCAACTGTAAAGTCACTTTCTCAGCTCTCTCATGTTTTGGATAATACATCTCTTTGAGATGCAGTCTGAGATTGAGTGTCCTCGGGAAGGAAAAACATGAATGCTTTCAATTTTAGAGATGTAAGAGTGGCTTTTTTACAATTCAACTGAAGACTTTGTTGCTAAATTCTTTTGACTGAAAACGTGCTATTTCTGACAAGGTGTGTGCGTGTTGGTGCTGGGGGGTGAGGAGTGTGTGCATGTGTGTGTGTGGGGGTGGAAGAAGGTAGAGCTGCACAGTAAAATAATTTTTAAAATAATAACAGTAAAGCATACTGCCTTGTATGCTGTGTGTCTGAATAGTTTGCCTTCATGAATGAAAAGTAGAGTGATAGTGTGATTGTAGTGAAGTAGACTCAGTGGTATTTATTCAGGTAATCCCCTCTGTTTATTTTGGTGGATGGTGTCTGTGCACTGCACTGAATTCCTCCCATGCTGGCTCTGGTTTGACTGTAGGCCCAGCAATGTTGTAACGCTGCTTCAGCCTGATTACACACATGCCAACACACAGAACAGTTTGAGTCAGGGACGGCTGGTACAAATGGGCTAGCAGGGCTAAGCTCTTTGCTTTCTTAAACAATAAAGATGAGAAAGTTATTCTTCAAATAACAATAATAACTTTTAAACTTTGGTTGAGCCCAGAATAACAACCGTACGCACTATCTCTGATTTCTCATTCTTTCAGGCCAAGCACTGTAGCTGCCACTTTCATTCACTTCTGTATTGTAAATTTGTGACAGTTGCCAAGACACAGCCCGTTCATTCACTGATTATTTTGACTAAATTCATTAAGCCCAAAGGCCACTGGCTTTTGAACAATGACACAGCTAAAGCTTTACAGATTGTAGAGATGATAAGAAACTAACTAAGCATCTATTGACTTCAAAAAATTATCAATTGTATTTAACATTATTAAAAAACTTAAATGGCTGTTTCTTAAAGGAAGAATGTGAGACTTTTTGATCCCTAGAGCACTAGCAGAAAACCAAAAGAAATTGTTGTTTGGCGACACCTCCTCCACACCAAATACTCCGCTCTCCTACAGCTACACACCTCCAACCCCTCTCCACTTGCGTTTGCAAAAAGGAGTTACAAATTGGAACCCATCATAATTAAGCACTATATTTTGTTATATTGTCTAATGTCCTGTTTTGCTCTAATTTTATAATTTCAATGTTTGTAGGTAATTTTCAATTGGGTAAATTGTATTTGTGACATTAAATATTCTTACTTTGTTATTTTAACTTTGTTTAATCTCTAAAGGTGAGGTTTTGAGATAAGCTCTCATGGCAAATAAACTGAACTAAACTAAGCGCAAGCTGCAGATAAAATTGTCCTTGTCTCAAGCTGCATTGTTGTCTTAGCAGGCTAAGGGTAGCGCTCTTTAGTTAGCTCTTAGCTTCACACTGCTTGTAAATGAACGTGATCTAAAAACACTTATATACACCAATATGTGTTAGCATAAAGTGCCCCCGGGAGAAAAATGCACCAGCCGCCACTGGTTTTAATACATAATTGCTTCCACTTTGTAAGAGTTTTGTGTTGGGCAGGAAGCAGTGTAGATGAATGTCAAACCCTGGAGTTACAAATGAATGAATACAGAGCAGTACATCCACCTTTATGGCATCAGGAAGTCCGCAGGGAATTACAGCTGAGCCTTTCGTCCCCACAGGCGCTCTCCTCTCTAGCACCTCAGAAATGGAGATTGGTGATGAACCTGTGCACAGGGAAGGACTCTGGAGGCTAACATCAATCAGCCCAGTGACCTTGTCAGCTGATCCCCTCCGGAATATAGGGCAGCTGCTTCCATGGTGACTGCACACACAGAGTGGACCGACTGCAGTTGAGCCCCCCCCTTACAAGAAAGCATAATATCTCAGAGTGCTTTGTAATGCATAGTGTATTCCAAGGACCAGAGGGGGCAGAGGATGAGCCACAGACTCTGACCCAACATCAAGTGGTAGTTACACTCTGATCCTAACTTAAGAGAACTCACTTCTTTTTTCTTTTATGAGCAAACAGCTTTTCCTGCTTATTGATTGTCTCTGGACAACGTATCCTCACTCCAAGCTTGCCATGTTTAATAGCTCAGTGGGTGACCTGAAGCTTCTGCATTTGACAATTTAGGTTCCCATCTAGTATTGATGTATCATGTGTGTGGTTCCACAGGCAGGTTTATTAATAAAATAAAGCCTTGTTGGGTAAGTCGTCAATAAAGTTAAAGGAAATGAGCAAGAGCTGGGTAAGTTTAAAATAACAACTATGTTATC